AATTTGCTTATAACGCTATGCCAAATCGTTCCACCGGTAAGGCTCCCTTCACAGTTGTTTATACTAAAGCTCCTAACACTACTGTAGATATCATAGTGATGCCCAAATGCAAGTCCACTGCGGCCACTTCTTTCACAGAGGACTACTCCCAACTCCTCTCTGATGTGCGACAACAACTCATCAACTCGAATCAGCGCTATAAGAGCTAAGCTAACACACACCGCCGGCAGCAACTTTTTCAAGTCGGAGACCTGGTCATGGTTCGTCTTCGCCGCGAACGTTTTGCACCTGGGGAGTATTCCAAGCTAGCTCGCCGCAAAATTGGTCCCGTTCCTATCATTGCTAAGTTCAACGACAATGCATATCGTGTGGAGTTACCACCATGATGCAATACCTCTCCCACCTTCAATGTCTCCGACATATGGCCGTACCATTCTACAGATAAGGCTCCAATACTACTCAGCTCGTCGGAGTCGAGCTCTTCTGAAGCCGGGGAGGATTGATGCAGTGCAGGTTAACTAAACCAAGCAGGGCGGCCCATCCTATCGCTATAACGGTTGCTGATGGTTCCACTACCTAGTATTGCCTTTTTGCTTTTATCTGACAGCACTTTATAGTTTTATTTTGCAACTTTATGGTAATTAGAAAAATAGTATAGCCAAGGGATACATATAGGAGAAACAGGGGAAGGTAAGACAACTTTTTGTTATCATCTTATCAGTTATTCTCAGGAAGAATACAGAATATACAGAGATATTCCTATACCTTTTCCCTGTGTTGTTTTGCTTTTGTTTGTGTATTCAGGTATCTACCGATCCTGTACAAGGCTATCACTAATTCTTCCAAAATGAAAAAAAAGTTTATTTCGGACAATTTTTTTGGTGACTTATTTTTTATACAACAATTGTAATTTTATTTGGTTATAACTTTCTTGTTGTTTTCTAAGTGTTTTTTTTTTTAATTTATATAATGGAAAATAGTTTTTTGCAATTAAAATAGTTAAGTTATTTTTCTCATATAATTTTCCTATCATCTTTAAAAAATGTTGTGGTCATCTCAAACAAGAGAGATTATTATGTGCGGAGTCCAGACCCAGAGAACCGTTTAGTCGTTTTTGTGAACAATAAAAGCACAGCGTAGAAATGAATAGTAAAAGCACAGTGATGAACAATAACTATGCTTTCAGTGCTCACAGTCATAAAAATTGAACGGTTCTCTGAGTCCGGACTCCGCACGCTATAATCTCCCCTCAAACTGACCATATTTGTGTGTTGGTGATGTGGAATTGGCATATTAGGAAATTATGTTTTCTGGGAATTCTTAAGCGGAGACTGCTTTATCTAATGTTAGGGAACTTAATTGGCTAAAACAACTAATTTGAGACGTGAGAACATTCAACATCTTTATTGTTTTAGTTGAGACTCCCTTTATAATGTTAGAGAACTTAACTAATGCCCATATTCATCAATTTAATTGCCTTAAACAATTAAGTTGAGCAATTCAATTGCCTTGGTTAAAATACATGGGTGCTTGAGGAACTGGTTGAAATATAGGGCCAGGAGGAGTTTGCAGGAAAGCAGGAATTGGACCAGAATGAGCTTGCTGGTAACTCGGAGGAGGTTGTGGTGGTGGTGGTGGTGGTGATGGTGGCAAAGGCTGCCTGAAATGTGGAGCATAGTTCTTTTGCCTACCATACATCTTTCAGTAACTCCTTCCTGCTATAAAACAATCTCATAAACATCACAACCTCCTCCTGAAAGATGTATGGTGGGCAAAAGAATTATGCTCCACATTTCAGGCAGCCTTTGCCGCCGCCGCCACCACCACCACCACCACAACCTCCTCCGAGTTACCAGCAAGCTTATTCTGGTCCAACTCCTTTCCTGCAAACTCCTGTGAGTTCCACACAGCCTTATATGCAGCTTCCACCGCCGCCGCCGCTACCACCGCCGCCCCCGCCACCGCCACCGCCACTCCAAACTCATGCAAATGGAAGTACACCTGGAGTCCCTCCTTATCCACTGGCTGGTCTCCCTCTACCCATGCCATTACCACCGCCTCCTAGGATGCTTTAGCCCACATCAATGCCTAACTCGCAGCCCCAAGGACAAGTATTTTACCACACCCTTCATCCACCCCGTCCCGGGATTGTTAATGCTTCTACCCAACCTCCATGGCCTACTAATGCGCCAAATCCACCTCCTCCACATCCTAATTTTGAATTGGCAATCCCCACACCTTTTACAGGGAAGAGTTCTATAATAGATGCCCATCCACCTGCAATTCCACCCCCGTCGCCACCTCCACCTCCACCACCACCATCATTTCCTCCACCGCTTCCACCGTCGCCTCCTGCCCCAATCCCTGCATTAGATGTCTTTCCGAGTGATTCCCTGCAAGTTCTTGCTACATATTCTAAGGCTGATTCAACTGCTCTAGAGCTTGATAATGCTCCAGGTGAAGGTTCTAGAGAAGGGAATAAGGGTCCTCTGGTTGATGGAGAAGCTTCTGAGAATCTTGCATTGCCTCCACCGAGGCCAGATGAAGGTGTTGTTCGAAGCATCGAGGTCTTGTGTCAGTTCATTGCAAAGGTTGGGCCTGATTTTGAGAACATTGCTCGATCAAAGGAGGCTGGAAATCCACATTTTACCTTCTTCTTCGGTGGTGAATCTGGAAGTTCACTGCTGCGATTGTGTAAACTTGGATTATGGGGTACATTCACCTGCGACATCAGACTTGGAGATGGAGGGTGAGTAAAGTTCGCTGCTGAATCAGTATTCTAGCCGATTAGTTCGGGACGGTTAAGGCTAATCCCTTTAAAAAAAAAATTTAAATTTTGATTATTCTCTCAGCTTTCGGCGGTAGCATTTACAGATCAAGTGCCGGAAAATAAACCTCCAGCGGGTCCGGGTGACGTGGCCTCCGGACGAATGCAGAGCTGGAAGTAATATTTTTCTCCCATATTGGGCAAATTATTAGGTCCGGTCACCGGACCTAAAAATTGGTTCGGCCATTCAATTAAAACTTGCCACGTGGACTACACTTTGATTGTGTTTTTTGACTGCTCTTTGAATGCACTTTAGGGCATTTTAAATGCGCTTTGACTATGCTTTATCTGCACTTTACCTGCTCTTTTGACACGTTTGACTTAAAATTATGCGGACACGTGTACATTCCACATATCAGTATTTTATTAGTGTCCGGAGCTATGTCTAAGTCTGGCGACCAGGCCTAATAATTTGCCCCTGCGTTGGCATTGTCAGTTTTTCTCAAAATTTAAGCAAAAAAATAAAATAAAATAAAAATAAAATAAAAAATAAAAAATAAAGAGAGAGAGAGAGAGAGAGAGAGAGAGAGAGAGAGAGAGATGGAAGCTAATTCTTCCAAAATGAAAAAAAGATTATGAATTTATTTAGGACAATTTTTTTGGTGACTTATTTTTCAACTAATAATTATAATTTTATTTGGCTATTATTTTCTTGTTGTTTTCTATGTTTTTTTTTTTCAAAAATTTAGATAATGGAAAATGGCTTTTTGTAATTAAAATAGTTATGTTATTTTTCTCTTACAATTTTACAATCATCTTTATAAAATGTTGTATTCATCTCAAACATGAGAGATTATTACGTGAGAAGTCTAGATCTGGAGAACCGTTCGATTTTGCTACTTTGAATAGTAAAAGCACAACATTGAACAGTAAAAGCGTAGTGACGAACTATAACTGTGCTTTTACTATTCACAGTCACAAAAATCGAACGGTTCTCTACGTCTAGACTCCGCACGTAATAATCTCTCCTCAAATGAACCTTATTTGTGGCTGGGGATGTGAAATTGGCATATTAGGAAACTATGTTTGATGGGGATTGTTAGGACACTAAAGTGGAGACTGCTTTATCTAATGTTAGGGAACTTAATTGTCTTAAACAACTAATTTGAGAAGTGAGAACATTCAACAACTTTATTGTTTTAATTGAACCCCCTTTATAATGTTGGGAACTTAACTGATGCCCATATCATTTCTTCAGTATTTAAGAGTTTTAATGATGTTGAAATAAAGTTATCTTTGGCTAGTTTGATTCATCTCATCAGGCTACTCGATTCTACTATAGACATACTAAAATTGGAGATCATTTGATCCTTGAATTTTGGTTCTCAAGTTTCCAATTACATTTTTGAAACCTTTCCTTGATTTGAGCTCATTTAGGTTATGATTGAACCACTTTCGATTTTGTTAGAATTGTCCCGTCGAGACATTCAATTTGACAATAAATTTCTTAAAATTAAAGTTCACATGATCTCAAATTTAATTTAAATTTTTTTTCAAATCAAACATGCATAGAAATTCATGCCTAATCACAGAATTTTTTTATGATGCATTAATGTTTTTTTTTTCTATTTATATTTGTACATTTTGTTTTATCCCTAACATAAAATCATCGAAAACCTCCCTCCATCGTTTAATTGACAGTTTTGCCATGCCAAGTAACTAACCCGAGCTTATATCCATCAATTTAGACTTCATTTAAGACAATTTTCTTAATGCTTTCTAAAACATCTTGTTAATACAAAATTTCTCAAACTAAAAAGTTTTGCACTTGAAAACAGAGCCCTGCATTGGGTGCCCATACCCACACCCACCCAAGTACCCACCCATACCCAATGGGCATGGGTGGGTATGGGTACGCCCAGGACCTCGTGGTTGGGTATGGGTGGGTACTCAACATCAGAGGACAAACTAATATGATGCATTAATGTTTTTTTTTTCTATTTATATTTGTACATTTTGTTTTATCCCTAACATAAAATCATCGAAAACCTCCCTCCATCGTTTAATTAACAGTTTTGCCATGCCAAGTAACTAACCCGAGCTTATATCCATCAATTTAAACTTCATTTAAGACAATTTTCTTAATGCTTTCTAAAACATCTTGTTAATACAAAATTTCTCAAACTGAAAAGGTTTGCACTTGAAAACTGATTAAGAAATCAACAAAAAAAGCTGTCGCAAAAGATGTGAAGCCAAATTCATTTATTCCACCATTTTGTACATAATTCATCTTATAATCTAAATACACATCCGCCTCTGCCCATTTTCAACAAAAAGATACAAAAATGTAAACCCTAAGCCCATCAGTCTCTCTTGCAACAGCTCCTAACACCACAACACCTCCTTCCTACTACAGAAAAATGTAAGGTTTGATCCTCCTGATTGTGATGCTTATAAGCCACTTGACTACATCTTGATCTTGCTGAAGACCAGGACAAGCACAAGCTCTCTATTGCTTCAGTCGAGAATCCATTCTTGCTTAGATCAAGCAATTGAAGCTGCTTTGCTGCATCTATCCCAACCGATAGCTCCTGAATCAGAGGAAAGCATATCGAAGGATTTTGCTTGCCAGCACCATCCTTTGAAGCCTCCTCGTCTTCGCTGTCGGCAACTTCAAGCTCCCTGTTAGTATTGCAGACGGTCTTTGATGTTGCAGGTGTGTCTGTCTTAGGTTGGTACTCTAAAGCTCTCTCAATGGCAATATCGACGTTTTCGACAAGATGGAGTTCTTCCAAAGATTCATTTCCTGTAAATTACGATTAAGGAAGCGTTAAAAGATAAGATTTGAATGATTTTGAATTTGGAAGAAACCTGTATTTTCTTTGTTTACGACCCAAATCTTGTTATTTCTTAAGGTGTATGCGTTGGACTAGGAAAGAAAAGCAGCGACGGCCGATGCATTTCTGCTTCGACTGATTTTAAATTCAACAATGGGAAAACCAAAGCAGATTGAAAAAAAATTTATTCGGATCTTCTCCAAACGAGGGAAAACATAATTTAAAACTAATCTTCCTCTCCCTAACTCTGGAACTCTTGAGAAATTATTTTGTGCGGACACCGGACCTTCTGGAGGCAAATCAGAGCGGGCCACGTCGCCTGATACACAGTCACGGTATACAACAAAGAGGTGACATGACGCGCTCTGATTGACCTCCGGACGGGATTTGTATCTGCACAGAATAATTTCACTTAACTCTCACCCTTCCAAGCCCAGGCCTGTATAATATTGATCCAAGTTCCAAAAAAATTGATATTCTGGCAGACTTCTAATATCAGCCAAATTCCCATTGCATCTAACCGTAAACGCAACATGCATTAGCACTCATTCATCAATGCTTTTGTGCACAATTGCACAAAACAAAAACATACGTGAATACAAGATAGCCGAGCTTAAGCTGGCTTGGTTTGAGCTTGAGAGAATAATGGTTTGGTCGACCACCATTGCATGGCCCATGCACATGTGGAATCAATTCCTAGCTCACTACTAATACATTGATAAAGTTCACATAATAAAATAATTTATTACTTCCTAAGGTTTCAAATTACCATGATTCATAGAAATTAAAATATTAATATGATGCGCCTTAGAATTCACTTATTTTGTTGCATTAATGCTCTCTTATATTTTTCTGGCATTTTTTGGCAAAATATTTTTCTTTGCTTTTGACAATATTATTGCTCTAATACCCACACTTTCCCCAACAATTGAAATCAAAGCCAAAGGTTTGCCTAAGATCAAGTGGTTCATGTGATTTTTGCTTAATGTTTAAGAGTGCTAACTCTCATGAAGAATCAAATTGAGTCAAAAGAACTAAAATTTTGAGATTTTTTTAATAACTTTCTACTTAAAATCCAAGAATTCAAATGAATTTTAAGTGTATTTTATAAAAAAATTGTTTACATGACTTAGCTTACAAGCCGACAAGGTTGAATTAAGCTAGCTTAAACTTAACTTGTTAACTCATCTTATTCAAGTCACGAGCTATTTATTGAGTCAAATTATAATTAGCTCATAAGTCATCTTGACTTAGTTATACCCCTAAGTTAATCTAATATTTAATAGTTAAAAAATATATGTTGGCGTAGAAGTATCAAGTGCTTGACCCTCACCCATAGACTAAAGTTTTAAGGTTAAAAGGGAATTGACTATTGATATATAACTTCAATCACCATTTGTTCATCCTCTCCAAAAGAAGTGTATTCCTTACCCATCATTTGCCTCACCAAAAGTACCAAACTACCATCCATCCAAACAACAATAAATATCTTATCCTAGGAAAAAGATATGGTCATTCTAAAATCCGCTCTATCTCTGCAAAAGGCTCAGCAAGTTCATTAACACCCATTTCTAAGCTTTTGAACATGATCACTAACTTGAATAGAGTATTGGCGTGTCATCCCAAAAAATTACTCAGAACTGAGTCAACTATGTCTTTAAATGTGTATTGAAGAAGCAAGTAAATTATATATACGACATACCAAAAAAAACTCTTTTGATTTTAGATTATTTTTAGCACACAACGAATACCAAAAAGATATAGCACGCTGCAAACCTTAGATGTTAATACAATAATATAGCCAACACATGAGAAACATATGCTATGATCATCCAAAAAATAAAATTCAATGAGACACTATTGTATTTGTTATTATTCTTTCATGAAAATGGACCTAAGTTGATTTAATAAGTTTTACTAATCTCAAATAAGCAGGTAAAGTAATTGATATCCAGCATTTTATTATCTTAATAAGAGAGCAATGTCTGATTTTGTATTATTCCTTCATGTTCTTGGATAATGAAAGGTTGTGTGTTCTACAGACCTGCTAAAGCAACAATAATTCGAAGTATTCCACCAAGCCCAAGATGGCATCTGTCCAGAATAAGAGATTTGACACTGCATTGTGGATCAGAAAGCATGCATTCCAACGCATAGCAACCCTGTGATACATTTTAACCTCAAAATAAGTATCTGATTAGTTTTAGATGTAATAGAGGAAACAAAATCAGCCTTTGAAATGAGAAAGAGAAAACCTCATCACCAATGGAATTTCCTCCAAGATTCAGCTCTACAATACCATTAATCTGAACAATATGTTCACAAATTTTGCCAATAAAATCAGAGGTAATGCCACAGACAGACAGATCCAACTTCTCCAACTCTTGTGGTCCACAACTTAATGCCTCAGTTAACCTCATTGCCCCGTCCTACATTAACAGAAAAAATATATTTATGTATTTTGATGGCAGAAGTTCCTGAATATGAAGGGCTTGAAAAAGGAAATTCACCCACAGCTCCCATACAGGTTCCTCCAAGAAACAATGCAGAAAAACTGGATGACTTGGCAAGATGGCAAAGCCCGTCTACTACAGGCTTGTTTAACCTTATACCAGTAAGACTTAGTTCTGAGAAACTGCAAAACCAAATAAGTATTTAAGAGTCCCACGTTGTATTAAATGAAAATATGCACCATTATCTATAACGGTCTTTTAGATATATACCATTTCAAAGATGAAAGTTTGGAGAGCAGATTAACCATCGTATTTGCAGATATAGGATTATTCTTTCCTGCAAGACTCGTAGATTGAGGAATAATAATTAGATGAAATGAATTGAAAACAAAAAATACATATATTTCTCAAGAGCAAATTTTAAGGTGCACCTATCGAAAGATGTGAAAGCACAGATCCACCATGCAAGCAGTCTGCGAGCTTCTGAATTGTTCTAGACGTTAAAGAGCATTGTTCTATTTTCAAGTTGTAGAGTGCTACAAAATAATACATGAAACTAATATAAGAAGATATTTTACGGGAAAGATTTTTATGTCAAATGGTTTGCTACAAATCTGATCGAATTTTTAAAAAAGCATTCACAATAATATGATTCATTCGGAGATATAATTTTATTTGGTCTAAATACATTGGTATTCATCTATTAAATACCAGAACTAGCAAAAGTAATCACCATCCGAAAAGATAAAATTGTCAACCACGTTGTCAAAAATTGACATATGAAACCAAACAAACTTGACATATTAGTACGTTGAATGCAAATCAACTTGCACATAATTGAATATTTCAGATCATTTAGAAAGTAAGATTTTATGATGAATGTGAAGAATCACAACACAGTAATATAATGCAGTCTAAATAATGATATATGATATCAATTCCCTAATCCAGATGACAATATCCTGACTTTCTTCAATTTCTTAGTTTTATCATGCAATAAACATTTGAGAAAGAAAGTTCAGCTATTGAAAGTTTACTAGCCAATTATAAGAATCAACATACCTTGCAACCACCAAATTTCATAATAGATTGGCCATTTCAATATAAATCCAAAATTGTTAAAACAAACAACAGCTTGAAAAAATATATTTTTTGAAACCTTGGCAATTTTCAAGGATGGTAGAAAGGTATGAACTGCAAGCATCTGTGAGACGATTCTGAGATAGATTAAGCACTTCAAGACGTTTGAACATGACTGGGCATTCACATATCTGTTCATAAAGACAAATACTTGTCAAGAAAAGGAAAAACAATTTTGAGTTCAAGTAACATAAATTTTAACCTTAGTTGCAGATTTGTTGTGAAAAAGGTATAAAATAAAATAAAATAAAAATTTGACAGCTTATTTAACTTTTTAAAGTTTTTATTTATGAAAACAGCATATATATCGGCATCAGAACATGATAAAATGAATACAACTGTTGAAGCTGGTAACATAAAAACCTGGAATAAAGCAGTTGGACCAAACCGATTGCAATGCAAATCCAGAGTTAGACCACCATATTTTTGGTTTGAAGAGGTAAAAATTTGTTGGATTTTTTCCATTGTCTCGTTTCCTGTAAGGCAACAAAATAATGAACTGTGGCAGCGCAACTTCATAATAAAGATCATGTGCAGTAACATTGTACAAAACCAGTTATGAAATTGTCTACACTAGCAAAGCTATATTAGAGAACATACCTAAGGAATTATGAGAAATGTCTAATAGTGCAACTGTTTTGTGGACCTCAAGTGCATGTAAGAAAGACAGTATTGATCTATCCTGTAAGGCACAATCTGATACAATGACTTCATCTTCTGAAACCTAATGCAAGCTTAAAAAGATAAGCGATCCACCTCATTTGTCATAGTTGTATCAATTAATTCAAAACAAATGTAAAAAACTTAAAAATATTCTTACCAAAGTACTTACCTCCAAATTATACAATTTTTTCAGCAACTTATGACTAGGTGCTTCAGTCGACTTATCACAGAAATCCATATACAACTTCATAAGGCGTTTTGGCACCCATTCTATAAAAGCAAAAGTGAGCATTATCCAAACCGGAAAGCAGATGCTAAGAAAGAATTAAATTATGTAGAATTGCTCCAAAAGGAACATAATGCCTCACAAATGTTCCATATTATTTTTTATTTTTGAAAGACCAACAATTCATATATCCACTGTATAACCCAAAAATATGAAATGTGTTTAAAGAGGTAAATGTTGTAAAAAATTTGAATTTCTGTTTGAACTGGAGCAATGCGGCGCTGTGTTTTGGAGTGTTGCGGTGCTAGGTTTGAGAGCATAATAGTACTAGAAAATGCAATAGCGGCGATTGGATATCTGTTCTACAATAATTCTAAATTTAACATGCAGCATTGCGGCGTTGCGGCTTGTTATAATATAGAAAAGGTGGCAGAATATCTACCTAATAACAACAATTGAACAAATTTGAAAAATATGTATCTTAAAATATCAAATAAAGACAAAAAATCATAAGTATTTATAAAATGAATTCCAAATTTAAGATACCAGATACATGGCATAGATCAATAGATTAAGCGGCGTATCAAAATATAATCTTAGTTAAGTCAAGGATAAAAAATATAGCTATAATAAAACCAATCAAACAGATCACCAAAGACATATTAACTACCTCCATATATATGCCAAGGATCAAGTTAATCTGATGTGAATCTAATAGGAGTTACGTGCGAAATTAAAGGAACAATCGAAGAAAACTTTGCTAATGAAAAATTATTGCTTGCACATAAAAGAAAACAAAGAATCTAAAGTATTCAATTTGCTTAGGCCAAAGAAGTGCAATTGTGATTAACAAAACAATTCAATCAAAGTTCAAGACAAGAGTAAATGTTAAGTACACATAACATAATCCAACATTTAACAACGAGAGGTTCGCCTCGAGGACCTTCTCACTCAATCACTTGTAGGCTTTAGCGGAGAAAGATGAACCACACGAAGAAAAATATCACTAGGAAGACGGCGCCGATGACCTTCGTTGACGGAGCAGTAGCCGGCTGTGGAGGAGGTGGTGGGTGGCCGACGATTACCCAACGGCCTGGTGGAAGATGCTCTTCAATTGACACAGTTGGTACAAGACTCGGTTGATGTAGCCTTCGACCGTTTCGTCGTTGCCTTCGATCGTTTCGTCGTTGCTGAAGAAAACATCAAAGAACGGAGATCCAAGTATGTTCGTCCTCCCTTGATCGTCGAATACAAATCTGTGGTTGATTTCAGGATTGGTCATGCACCAATGACGAGGTGGGGAGGAGATGTTGTCTTCTTCTCTTGGTTTCAAGTGTCATGAGCCAATCACAGTTCCCAAGAGGGCGCAAGGAGGGGGCGGCCAAAGGAGAAAGAGGGGGCGGGTGTTTTAGATGAAGGAGCTTAGGTTAGGTTAGGATGAGGGGGTGGTTTAATCCAAATCTGAAAAATAATTTCAGATTTTGAGTAAATTTGATGGGAACTAATTTGAAATTCGATTTCAAATTAATTAGCAATTAGGGCGTTAATTGAGTATTAATGGGGAGAAGCCCATGAAGGGGCCGGCGGTATGAAGAGAGAGGGGGGAGGGGATTTTGGGGGAATTAAGCTTTTTCCAAACAAGTTTGGACAATTAGGAGGAAAAATAATGAGTCCTTTCTAAATTAAATTCAGATTTGATTCAAAATTGAAAACTTTCCTTATTTAGATTTCACAAATAAGGAAAGTTTTTGAATTTCAAATTTTGAATTTCAATTTTTTCTAATTCCTTCCTTACATGCTAGAGCTAAATTAGGGAGTCATTATGATGATTGAAATCATCATAATGCTTGGATAATGAAGGAGGGGACCGGCAATCAAAGGAGGGGGATTTGGCGTCGGGTTGAGGTGACCAAGGCTAGTCCGGCGGATGGGTTTTTGGAAGAAGAAATAGGTGGTATCAAAGTGAAGGTGTTTTGGTTGTGGGTTGAAGGCGGAAGAGTGAAGAGAGGCCGATTGGTGATAACGAAGATAAACTAGAGAATGTAGAAGAAAACCACGAGCCACGGACTCTTCCGGTGACTGGTAGGTAATGCGCTTGCCCACACGTTGGGCTCTCCCTTTTCTCATGTGCACTCACAAGAAGAAGAAGAAGAAGATCAAGAAAACATCATATCATTCATAAAAAAAAAAATGCAACATATGAGACCCCTATATATAGGTCTCCAATCATGAAAAGGAAAAGTATAACATTGCCCTCTGGGCTACAATAACAAGACAACTCCCCAAAGGGGTAAATGCGGAAAACAATAAATAACTAAATAATCATAACATGGAAAATGTATCAAAAGTAGAGGCGCTGAATCGTAGCCGTAGATCTACGATTCCTTCGTCGATAAACATATCGGTAGCATCTGTCGATGTCCTCGTCATAATCATAACCATTATCATTATTGACGTATATAAATTAATTGGATCCATATGTCAAGGAATAAGTTCATCATCATCATCTTCAATACCATCATAATTAGCCTTAGCCTAACTAGTTAGATGCCTAAGAACAATTTAAAGAATAAAAAAGTAAAAAAAGAAAATCAGAATATTTTAGCTTTATCAAAATAGCATAAAGGTTTAAAGTTCTACTTATTAGATTTTAAAGATAAATGAAGTATTCGATCTCATATTTTATCAAGAGGTGTGTGAAACATGCACCTAATTCAAGTTAAGGAAAAGATGGATTTGAGAAAAAAGATCAAAATGATACTTGGACTATATCTATGAGGTCATTTTAATCCAAAATTACAAATGTGATCAATTTAATCCTTTTACTATTCAAATATGATCTAAAATAATACCTCTGTTGTATAGATTTGAGAGGTCAATGGAATATGTTGGATCAGATTTGAGGAGCCAAGGGAAAAATTGGGCATTTTAGATGGTCTAAGGTTAAAATGGCCTCCCATAAATAACCCAAAGAATAGTTCAATTTTTTTCTCAATGGTCCCTAAACTTAAAGAAGCATAGGCTCTGATTGTTGGGAGCAGGCTGAGAAGCACAAGCATCAACATTAAAAGCATGAAGTTCAAATGCATCTACATCTATCATACAAAGCTGGAAGAGAAAGTGAATATCTGATCTTTCCTAATTAACGCTTCAAACGCATCATAAAACAAGCTTTATCCTATTTGCTTAATGGTTTTTTACTTCAAATACCGAAGTGGAAAGAAGTTTCTTTAATTACCTAGGAGCATTTTAAGTGGCTGTAAACAGCAGAAAATGGTTTAGGGAAAACAAGTGAACTTTTTTGCTTTTTCCTTTTTGTAGTTCTGTCGGGAGAAGTGAAGATTTGAGGGAGAGCGTAACGAGTAAATGTAGGAAGTATCAATATGCAAATGATTAGTTAATGTTATAAATTCTCACCACTTATAACAACTTCAATGCAAACCTTTTGCGAAAGTAGGTTTTTCATATCTTCGGTTGTTTCCTGAGAGCGTAGATCTTTCCCACAGCAGACTAGCTGGTGAATCACAGGAACAAGACCTAAATATTACAGTTCAATTAGTGAAATAAAATAACGTTCTTACAACACCTGAACATTGAAAAAAAATGATAAAACATAAGCTTGAACTCTGAATTCAAAATTTAATTCAATAGAATGAACTTCAACGGAATAATCTGGGAATTAAATATGACATATTCTTCCTACTCCAATTTTCAAATACTCATTCTTTTTCGTGTATTCATTACCTTTAATTCCAGGAATAAAAAAAATGAAATCATAACCTTATATTATATATATATATGACAATCTAAGTTTGCATAATCCCCAATAGCTACGTCTATAAGTTATGAGCAATAGAAAGCACTTTGTTGATTTTACATGTACTTGAAAGATCATTAAGTCCTTTGTTAGGCAAATTTTGCTTTACATGTTGATTTTGGGTTTTCGGGTTAACCCGACCCGATTTTAGAAATGGGTCAGAAAATGAAACCCAAACACGACCCATCTAGCAAGCGGGTCGACATGAACACAATTTTCTAGGTCGGGTTTCAGGTCAGGTCAAATATTAACACCCATAGCTCTAGTGGTAAATAAAACTAGCGAGAGTTGCCTTAGATAGTTTGTTCACATAAAACGTTGACCTTTTGATGACCATGTTAGGAGAGTAGATGTATTAGATCCTGCATATATTAAGAAAGGTAGATGTAGACATAAAAAGACTTGGTTAGAAAGTATTAAAAATTATATTTTTTTATTAAATTTAAATGAGAATTTAACTCTTAATTAGACATAATGGAGAAAAAGGATTAATGTACCCAACCCTACTTAATGGGATAAAGGCTTGTAATTATTGTTGTTGTAGACCTAGAAGGTTTATCGAGCTCGAACAGGCGTTGGACTCGACTCGTCGACTCAACGAGCCGCTTGACTGCGCGGGATTCGTGGGAACGAGCTTGGGAAGACGACGGACGGATGTGCTTGGGACGCGGACGGACGTGTTCGGGACGACACATCTCGACAGCGGCGGAGCGGATCTTGACAGCGAGCCTTGGACGACGACAATTATTGCATCAGCCAAAACATTTCGACGGTGGCGAAGCGGATCTCGACTGCTAAGCTCGGAACAGACACGACAACGACGGACTGTGCTTGACCATGACGAACCTCGGGATGAAAGATAACGCGACCCCAACAGACCTCAGGACGACGAATCACGAGTGTGAGTAAGTAAAAAGTAGGTATGGCAAAATGTGATGAGTCAAGAGCAGCCACAATAAAGTAAGGCACAATAGAGAAAGCCAAAATGCAGGTGTTGTGGGCATAAAGGGAAAGTTAAAGAGGTTTGTAGTCACAGAAAGCATGATGAAGAAAGCTTGTGTCATCATTATCGAGTGGGATAAAGCATGCGAATAGGTAAATTAGCATGCATGAGTTAGTGTATTAGCAGCAAGGGCAAGAAAGATCGACAGTAGGGTTGAGGGTCAAAATGAAGGGCGAGGTCTTATACCATGCAAGAACAAAGAATTATTTATGCATCTTATTCACTAGAGAAACTCCCTATGTATAATAGGAATATGGGGATAACAAGTCAAGATACAATGAAATAAACCTACACTACTCACTATATATGAAGAACCTTCTTAATATGCAAAACTCTACACTAACAATAACAAAGTATTAGATCATTAGCTTCAAATCTTTCCATTATTTAATTTATTTGAGGTCAATAACAAGGTAAGGTTTGCAAAACAGCATTTCATCAAATTTTTAGATTATTCATTCCCTATTAAGATATCTCAGTTCAAATATTTGTATTCTAAAAAGGAGGGGGAAAATGGAACAGATATTTGAGTTTGAAATTCTTCTAACAGCAAGTGCAACATCTCAGACTAACAAGGTAACCGTAATTATTTTCAATCTTTATAGGTCATTACAAGGCCTAAATTTCTAAATCTGTCATTCACTTACAACATGGGAAATGATACCATTTAGGTTGAGAAGATAACGTTTTATTATGCATTAGGTGCTTCCAGCTTATGCTACAGCAATCCCAATCTAAGTAACCTCAGAAAATTAGGTCTACAAATTATACTGATTGGACAAAAAGATTAAAAGAGTGACGAATAATACCTTCAGATCGCTTCTCTTCAAAGAGCCCAAGAAAGAAGGCACAAGCCACCTCAACTTTAAGATGATCAATGTTTAATATGTTCCCCGTCAAGCAACAATTCATATCCACATAAATCGAGTCACGACCAACTTTAAACAGTACAGGCCACTACACAATAACAAATAGTGAGGAATTGATGTAATTCAACAAAATCTCCTAACTTCAACAAACAATTTTTATGGACGAATATAAATAACTACGGAAAAGCAGCAGCAGCATAGGTTTCCATCTGAAAAAGAAAAAAGGCATAAAAGTAGTTTAAGTATTCATGCTACAAAGTATTTTAAAACAAACCATTAACATCATCATCATCAATCTTATCCAAATAACTTATGATCAACTTCAAGAATCCTTATTCCATTCATTCCAAGTTAGAACTAAATGCAGTGGTAATTTAAAAAAAAAAAACTAAAAGCAGTGGTAACTATTTTATGTAACTTCTAGTCATGACACTTTGGTATATCTATTTCACCTTATTAAACCTTTCACATTAAATTTACTTACCTATCTTTTTGGTGCATCCTTTACCTCCATTGTATCTACACAAATCACTAAAATCTATTTTCTATTACCTTATATGTTTAATAGGTGTTATCCCTACCATCTCACTAGTATAATAATTTTCAATTATCTTGCTAATTTTACAAATCCATTTAAATATTCTTATTTCAATCACACTTATTTTGACTATCAGTCATAGCATAGCCAACAATCATATCCTTATAGAATGGACAATCTAATAACAATTTTATAAAATTTTCCTCTAAATCTCTATCATATTTCTCTTATAGAGAGTCTCATGTCCCTTATCGACTCTAATCATCTAATTTTAACCCTAGAATTTATAACATCATAATATCTCAAGGCATTATCATACGCAAATCAAACCAACTAGAATAGAAATAAAATCAAGCAAAGCAACTAAATTTGGCCTACTTTCAACTCGATATTTTCTTTAAGGACAGAACCCATGTAATATAATTGATTTGATTTGGTTCAAATATATTTCATTTTATTAAGACTTGGTTTGGAACTGTTGGGCTTATACACGTCCTAGATGGATGAATAAGGTACATTGGGGCTAATAGAAAATGGCTCAAAATTGATATATACAAGCTTGATTCAATTTTGATCTAGCTTAAACCAAGTTACAAACAGTGAACAGAAATGAATTTTAATAAGTTGGTACTGAACCAAACAACAAAAAAGACCAAACCAAACTAATATGTTTTTCAGTTTAGTTCAGTTTTTACTTTAAACAGTTTTCCCGCACACAACAAAAATCAGTGAATAAGTTGATCGGTAACAGAGTATTTAAGAAAAAACTAATCAAAGAATAAGAAAAGGAACATTGTCAATATATGTTACTTACACCATGATCATCTACTGGGAGAGTACAACCAGCACCACTATTGACCTCTAGACAAGCACTGGGGGTCTGACAAACATGCAGTTTTGATCCACAAGCCGTAGACTTGGATGCATTGGATATTTCCACATTACTAGCAGATCCGAATTCTGTGGCATTATCAGCAATTGATTTGGAGCTTTTTGATTTGAAAGAACAGGCACTCTCTTCAACCTGAGTTGGAGTAGAGGCATCTAATTTATATTTCAAAACATTAAAATTTACTAAACCCTGCTGAAGTTGCATGATATATAATGGAATTATTTCCAACAGGATAAAGAACGTAAAATGGAAAAATGAGAAAAACTGGAACATTCTAATGGACAGTGAAAGTTCAAATAAAAATATGCACTTATCTAGTAATAATACATATACAAAAGGAGACAGAGAGAGAGAATATAAATAAGGCACCGATACTTAAAAATAATTCAAGCACCAATGTTTGTGAATAAAATCACCTGCCCAACACTAAAACCACCTATTTCATCCAGCTTGATATCTGTGAATAACGAGCAAAAAAGGACTATATTATTGGACAGATAAAAGAAGGGAATAAAAACAAACTCCAATGGTAAAATGGTACATTAAAACAAAAGATTCATGAAAGAGCTAAAAAAAAACTCCTTTTTCAACATAAAAACTCAAATAGAAACTGTTTAAGGTAAACCTCCACAAGAAGTAGCCACATCCTCAATAGGTTTCCCATGGTTCATTTTTCTTGGTTGTTGCACCAGCCCAGGTTCTTCATCTTCCCCGTCGGAAATAACCACACGAACACGCTTGCGACCAAGAGACTGGTGGTTGGTTAAATTTCCAGATGAACCCTCACCCAAACTATTTGCTGATTTGGCTTTTGTGTTTAATGAAGACATCTCCATCTTGGATGATTTTTTGCATTTCTGAGCAATCATTCTCAAAGGAACATCATCATCAAGTTCATCATCAGTGACAGCACTTAGCTTAACTTCAAAAGCTGCAGGATTATTAATATCCCAGGAATCACATTCAATAGGTGTAGGATCAGATGCAACAACGCCCTCTGTTTCAGTTTCAGAGCAATAATCCTGATCCACTCTCATCAGTAAATCACCTCCATTCAGTAAACGCCTCACATTTTGAATCTCAATCTGTAATTTCCTGTAAAAGCACAACTCAATATGAGGTTTAGGTAAACAACAGTCTCTTAAGTGCACACAAGAACTTGCACAAACCCATCCACTTAAAGGAGTTCCAAAATATAAGGGCTAATTTCTGAAGTTCTAAACGTCAACAAGCATACCTGGCTTCTTCAACATTGTCAAATCTGATCATATGACTATAATGCATGTTATCAAGTGCTGATAATTGTACAGAAAGTAAGTTCCCTTTGACTGATATTCTGCATGCAGATAAAGTCAACAAAAGCGTCATTTACCATTCAAAAGAAGAATAAACAACATTTTACATTATTCAAGTTATACGCTGCCAATTAAAAAAGTTTTGCACAAATTCCACTAACACAGATATATCACCTATAACCTTCCTCAAATGCCTCCAGTGCTCCAACCCAGTCACCCGAAGAATCCAAAACCTCACCAACATTAATCTTGGCTAACGCTTGCCCCTGAAGTTCTCATAATCATAAAATACGATGCCAGTAAATGAAAAAATCCTGCAAATTATTAGAATAGAAATATTGAAAGATACATGTAGTGCACGATACCATAAAAATGAGCCTTCCAGATTTATGACCACTAAAAGATTGAAACGAGCTTCACAACAAAGAAAAATTCCAAAGGACAATGGTACAGTTACAATAATCCTAAACAATATAGAAGCCAGAGAGGGGCTGATTGGTTAATGTTATTTAGATTGCAGTGTTACAGTGTTAATCAGATAAAAAAGTTGTATGTTTGGTTCAACTAACTCAAAATAATGTAATTATATCTTTAGATGATCAATAAGATCTTTATTTTTTTACCATTTATTTTAACCATTATATTATTTGATATTTAGATGTCAACAAACTTAACCGACACTATAAATAATCAAAATAAAGTTTAAATGCCATTTTTCATAATTACCATTTAAAAGTGTCATCAAACCAAATATTGGCATCGACTACTAATACAACATTAAATTGCAGAGGTAAGCAAGCAAAAGAACAACTTAATGGAAAAATTTAGCCAATAAATATAACATATTATGTTAAGAACTTGATCCACCGGCTACTACGTGGTTCAGGAATGCAAAAGAAATCATAAATGACAAACCTCGAGGTTACCAATAGACCTGTAGACATTCCAACTTTTCATATACCATTTGCGTGCTTTGCCAAAGTTTCTGAGTTTCTGGTAAGACTCTCCTATAACCAGAAAAGAATCACTGAGTTTTTCCTTGTCACACAGCTCAGTTGCTACTCTTTTCTTCCTTTTTGCAAATTCTTGATGCTGATAGTTAAGATAAAAAAAAGAAATTATTTGGAAGAACAAATTGGATAATTGTGGGCACAAGTCACAAAATCAAATTTGGGAGTGTTCTTCAAAGAGATCGCCGGTTCAATTCACACAGAACTATTTATTAATCTTGTATTTTTTAACAAGGTCAAGCTTGAAGAAATAGTTAGATTGTCTCCATTTATTACGTGGAGGTCATTAATTAGATTCACTGAAATAAAATCTCTAAATTGTAGGAGTAGCGTTGTGTATATCAGTCCCTCACCATCCATCCTATATAGAAGGGAATCTCATGCATTGGCTATGCCCTTTTCTTTAAAGATAATGGCATTTTCAATAGTGATTAAATGGTTTCCCTAACTTTCCATGACTACAAATACTTTTATCTAAAAAACTAAATCATAGTACAGCTGGAAGTTTCCAAGGAATCACAGTACGAACATCCAGTTTAATGAATACTAGTGTCTTCGGCTCAATGAAACAAAACTAGGTGTATACTCATTATGACTATGGCAATAAACTCACATATATTTGAATTCATAATACGAAAGAATTCAACTAAGTATTTTCCCTAAAGAAGAATTTGATCATAACCAAGATCAAGAGGTAAATCACCAAAAGAATATGGACTATGGTAACTAACAATATACTTGAATTTCCATCCTCGGACATATACGGGACACAATATAGACAGAGACAACTTCAGATTTTATTTAGCACTTATATTGATCTTATAAGATCGAGACACTTACAGTTCATGCAAAAATATCATAAAACACAACCTGAAGCCTACCATCCGCTGAGGTTCCTTCGAAGTTCAAATTAATTGAGTTTTCTCTTAGAATAGTTTAATCACGGAGCTAGAAAATGATATTAATTGTTTTACTGGTGGTTGATAACATCACTTATTCGTCTCAGAGAAATGTAAGAGTCATTATTTCCACCAAGAGTGGTTCTCGCAATCTTATTAAGGAATAAATAATGACTGTTTGACCATTCCTGGAGAAAAACAATCACAGACAGAAAAGATGAAATGCAAGATAGACATGCCATACAAACCTTTGGCCATGCAAAAATCATGCTGGATTTTTCAATCAGACTATCCAAACAAACGTTTTGCTCTAGCAGGCACTTTCTTTCATTTGCTGTTCCACGAGCATCACTTGTGGCCCTCATCAGTCTTCTGAGTTTTTGCTCATCTTTTTTCAATGACTCGAACACCTTAGATGCTTCTTTTACAGTATTAACATTCTGAGAAATATGATCGACTAAGGAATCCTCATCCTCCATGCTTTTTGCAATATCCATTGCCTTCTGATAGCAAAGAATAGCTTCATCATACTTTTGTACTCGATAATGCAGTTCACCAAGATTGATGAACCCCTTTGCTTCACCTTGGGGATGTCCAATCTGTTTACAAATTAATATGTCTTTCTCTATGTGGTTCCTTGCCTTATTCCATTCCCGCAGTTCCAAATAGACACTTCCAAGATTATGATGAAGCCTGCTGCGCCCATCATCATCTTCATTGACTTCTTCTTCATCACATATCATTAAACCCTCAAGAAGCGTTTTCTTGGCTTCTTCCAGATTGTCCAGGTCCATTTCAAGCATACCAATATTATTGTGTGCATCGATATATTCTTTCATAAAGAAACAATTTGTTTTGGAGGGAGGATTTTCCTTGAGAGACCGTGCCAGTTTCATAGCCAACTTGAAGTATTTCTTGGCACTTCTTACTGCATGGTGATCGCTTTCTGATTTTAAAAACATTTCGTGGTAAGTTCGGCCTAGTTGTGTGCTTGCTCTCTGTTGTTCAATAACGTCATCAGAATCATTGGCAAGCTCCAGATGCTTTTTCTGCAATCCAAGGGAATTATAGCATGAAAATTCATGTTTGAAAGTAATAGGATAAGCCAGAAGCTGGATTAGGAATTTCCCTGAAACCTATGAGATGAATGTATTTAAAAAGACAATATTTTGCAATATAAATGGAACACATAAGAAGGCTAGGCTTCTATTAGGTAACAAGTGCAGAAATTTTTGGCTGAAATTGAAATTTCAGCAATATAAAACCAGAGATAGAGAAGAATCTTGTGGCAAAACACTTAAATAGCGTTTAGACTGAAGAAATACAAAAGAAGACAAACAAGATACAATGGATCTTCTATTGGAGAAGAAGATCCGGCTCTCCCAAATCTCTAGACGCCGCTAGAACCCAAGCAAGAACTAAGAACAAGAAAAAAATCAGCAAAAATAGAGATAAAAAACTAAATCTAGCCACCAAAACATACTTAAGCATACAATAATTAGGTAAATCCTAAAATAGCCCATTCTATTTGAATTTTTCCTCCTAAATCCCCCCTCCCCTTCAAAAGTCCCCCTAATTAAGTCTGTGAACCCCACTAGGATTGAGGTGACAATGATGGGGGCAGAACTCCCCTGTTTCGCCTCCTGTACACATGGATCGTTCATGGTGGATCGGCTGGACCGATCCAGGGATTAGTCAATCAATACTCTCCTCCCAAATAGTCACATTGTCCTCAAGGTGGAAGGAGGAAAAGTGATGTTTTACCTTCTCATATGACTCCCATTTGGCATCATAATCAGGTTGTTCTTCCACTTAATAAACACTTCCTTGGGCTCTCCCTCTACTTGTCGTACCCCTTAAAGCTCTAGTAGTTCTAAAATCACCTCTAGATCCTCTGTCAACGGCCCTGGTAATTATGAACTAGTTTTATGATCCCCACAACTCTCATCAATTGTGATACATGGAACACAGGGTGTATGGAAGCAGTCGAGGGTAACTTTAAGAGATAGGCCACTGCTCAAATCCTCTCCAACACCTCATAAGGGCCAAAGTACCTCGGGGCTAGCTTTTCAATCATTATGTTGGCTACTGTCCTATGTCTGTAGGGTCGAAACTTTAAGAATACTCTATCCCCAATGGAAAACTGGATGTCCTTCATGTGCCCACCCACCTGCTTCATCATAATTTGTTAAGCTCTCAGCATATGTCTTTTTAACTCCTCCAGCACTCTATCATTTTCATTCAGGTACTGCTCTATTAAAGATATTGGTCTGCGGCTCTACCCAAAATGTAGCAAATGTGGAGGGTATCTCCCGTATTGCACATTGAAAGGAGTCATCTGGGAGGTCGAGTGGTAGAAGTGTTGTACCAATATTTTGCTCATGCCAGCCACTTTACCAATGCCCTAGGTGTTTCTGAAGCAAAACACCGCAAGTATGTCACCAAGCTCTTGTTCCCTACTGTCTACCAATATATCTGGGGGTGGTAAGCGGTGCTCATCTTCAGCATTGTCTTATAGGCTAAACAACTCCCTTCAAAAATGACTAAGGAACACCTTATCTATGTTAGATAATATAGACTATGGTATCCCATGTAGCTTGACCACCTCCCTGATGAATGTGGCTGCTACTATAATTGTCGTTTAAGGATTTCATAGGGGGATGAAGTGAGCGTACTTGCTCAATCTGTCAACTATCACAATAATCACAGTAAACCCTTCCGATCGAGGTAACCCATCAATAAAGTCCATGGTGACCTCCTCCCACACCCTATCAGGTAGAGCTATAGGTTGAAGTAACCCCCTACGAGCCACAGTCATGTACTTATTCCGGTGGCACACCTCATATCTAGCTACCATCTCTTCCACATCCTAGTGCATCACCCTCCAATACAGCTCCATTGTCAGTCTCTTGTATGCATTTTGTACACCAGATTGACCTCCAACAATGCTCCCGTGAAACTCTTGTAGCAACTGTGGAATATGAACTGAGGTCCTAAACATCACAAACCTCCCATGATACAATAATCTCTCCCCATCTAGAGAGTAGGTGGGTAACGGTTGTCATCCTTTAAAAGATCTACTCTAATTTTTCCCAACTCCTCATCCAGCACACTCTCCTCCTTTATAGCCCCTAGTCCAACATTAGTGGTATTGACATAACCAACTCCTGGAGCTCCCTCATGCATCTGGACAAGGCATCTGCCGCCTTGTTCTCTAATCCTGACCTATAATGAATCTCAAAATCATAGCCTAATAGCTTTGACAATCATCTCCAATGCTCCTCAACCACCATCCTCTACTCCAACAGGAACTTTAAGCTCATCTGGTTCTCCCTGTCAATAAAATGCTGACCCAACAAGTATGATCGCCACTTCTGAATGGCTAACACAATAGCCATCAATTCCCTCTCATAGACTAACTTCAACCTAGCTCGGGTTGTCAACATTTGTCTTAAGTAGGCTATGGGTCTGTGATTCTGCATAAGCACGACCCCCAACCCATATCCTGATGCATCCGTCTCTACCACAAAAATATGATTGAAATCTGATAGGGCCAAAATCGGTATTGTGGTCATGACTTTCTTCAATCTCTTAAAGGACTATATAGTCGTCTCTCCCCACAAGAATCTATCCTTATTTAGTTGCTCAGTTAATGGACATCTTATAGTGTTGTATCCTCTCACAAATCTCTTGTAGTATCCTGTCAAACTTAGGAAACCCATCAGCTCTCTCAGATTCCTAAGTAGAAGCCATTTCAGCATTGCCTCAATATTAGCCTGATTGGCAGACACCCCCTCCTGAGAGATCACATGCCCCAAGTATTCCACAGTCTTCTGCAAAGCAACACTTCTTCAGGTTGGCCCATAGCAGATGTTCCTGTAATACTTCCAAAACCACCCTCACATGCTCCAAGTGCTCCCCCATCGACCTATTGTAAACTAGTATGTCATCAAAGAAAACCAATACGAACTTCTGGAGATATGGTTTGTACACAGTTCATGAGCTACTAGAAAGTGGCAAGGGCGTTCGTGAATCCAAACGACATCACCAGGAACTCGTAATACCCCTCATATGCCCTGAAAGCAGTTTTCGAGACATCCTCCTCCCTCATCCTGATTTGATAGTATCCTAAATTCAAACCCACCTTGGTGAACACCACTGCTCCACACAGTTCATCTAGTAGCTCATCGATCATCGGTATAGGAAAACTGTCCAGCACTGTCTCTTTATTCAAAGCATGGTAATCAATGAAGAAATTCCAGCTCTGATACTTCTTCTTAACCAGCAAGACTGGGCTAGAAAATGGACTCACACTCAATCTGATGATCCCGCCTCCAGCATCTCTCAGATCTGCTTCTCAATCTCGTCCTTCTAAATTTGAGGGTAATGGTATAGTCGGACACTAATCAGCAACACCACCTCCCTTAAGGTGATGACATGCTCTTGCTCCTTCAATGGTGAAAAGCCTTGAGGTGGCTGAAAGACCTCACTAAACTACTAGATGAGATGTTGTACTGAAAGAAGATTGCCCCCTCTTCCTCTAATATGATCCCTTCTAAGCTCTGCAATTTCACCATAAATCCTCCTCCCACCTTCTATATGGTCCTGACCATAGCATTGAGGGATACCAAGGCCTTGGACAACCCTGCATCTCCCCAGATCATCACTCTTCTTCCTTCCAACACCAGCTTTATCGTTAATATCCCCCAATTGACATTGGTATCTCTTAAGATATATTGTCATTTCATCCCCAAGATGACATTAATGCCCCTTAACTCTAATGGGAGAAAATCCTCTCTCACCTGAACCCCCTGAATAGTCAGCACCACTCCCCTACACACTCCTCTATCCATCTCCACTTTCCAAGTGCTCATAATCACCTCATAGCCCCCGATGTCCACCAATTTCATCCCCAATTAGTCAACAACCTGATTGGAGATAAAGTTGTGAGTAGCCCCACTGTCGATCAGCACCATCAATTCTCTGTCAAATATTTCTCCTATCACATTTATAGTGTGATTCGGGGTGAACCTCGCCACTGAGTTTAAGAAGACTTCGGTCATATCAAGATGCAACTCTTCCTCCTCTTCCACCACTGCCACACTCTCACACCCCTCCTCAACTTCCTCGTCATTACAAATGGTGAGAACTTAAAGAGTTTGGTTCTTACACATATGCCCCGGCGTGTACCTCTCATCACATCTGAAGTACATCCCTTTGCCTGTTTCTAAACTTGAGGGTTTTTCTTCCTAGCTTGAGATCTACCATCTTCCTCTACTTAATTCTTCCTCTAGTCTTCTATCTATTTCATCTCTCCACGGTTTCCCTTCCAATTGTATCATTCTTCTCCAAATATAGCAAGTGTGGTGTGTTGTTTGGTCAGTTTATTGGTATTTGTCGGAGGAGTGTCGATCGGTGTTGAATCAAGATTTCTGTGGCGAACCTCTGGTTTGAATTTTTCCTTGAAACACCAATACCTAATTTTCATATTTGCATGTGAGGTGACCTTTTTGTAAGGTTGTTCTGAGGACAGTTTATTTTATATATTAGTTTATTTTTGCTAAGTTTCCTAGAAGTTCTATTACATCTGTTTCTATTAAGTTTTCTTTCTGTTGTTGTTGGTTTTTGTTTACTAAAAGTGGTGTCCTGTTTATCCTAATATTCTCCTATTTGGTTCTGGAATTTAAGTTACACCAGAGACCAAACATAAAACAAAGCTTAAATCCTACCAAATTGAATCAAGGACTGATATGAGTATGTATAAGGTGGTGTGGTGTTTTGCATAAACCCCTTGTACATGTGATAAGTGGAACATCTTTCAACAAATTTGTAGATGTCACGATGGAGTTTTAACTAGAGGAAATGATTTGCAGTAATATTAGGGTCTTATCCTGGCCAGTATGAGCGTTGAGTTCACCTCCATGGAGCTTTCTAATTAAATGTCATTGGAGTGACATGCCGGCATGTGCAACTAATTTTCCTTGAAGATAAATCTTTTAAGTATGGAGTAGTCTTTATTAAGAAAATGATTGATGCATTTCTACCATGGTAAAAAATTATTTTCTTCTGCATAGATGCTAGTCTAAAGATGTTGCAACGTCTCCATTTTAATGATGCTAGTCTAAAGAGTAACCAGGAGACAAGCATGGTCGCTGAGCAACGCCTATCCATATGATTTCTCCTATTTTATGTTTAAAAACAAAGTTGATTTTATGGAGGAATAAACCATGCATGCATCCGGCTTTAGATTGTGTTGTCTTCAGGAATTGTAGGGACTAATGATAGCTAAAGAGAATAAAAATTCTAATATAGAAGAAAACGCTCTAAATGTTCCAAGGGCTGAACTATCATACACAACTCACGTTTGTACATTGACCACCTTCAACGAGCCGCACATAATTTTTCATTAAAAATTATATAGACTTGCCCTTCTGTGATAACACAACCTCGATACCGATTGTCAAAGCATCTATTTCAACTTAAAATGGGATCTCAAAATCATGAGTTGCAAGCACCGGAGCTTCACATAGTTTGTATTTGATGACTTCAAAACTCAATTGCTAATCAAGATCACAGGAAAATAAACCTTGCTTCAGGCAATTGGTTGTATGTCCCATCATGGAGCTAAAGTGTCATATAAAACAACTACAGAAAATAGCAAGGCAATGGACTTCAACGATTGAGGCATAGGCCACAACGTGATTGCATCAATTTTTGTGTGGGGCAGCTTGTACCCCTTGAGCATTAATGACGAAACCCAAAAATGGACAGGAGCAGCAGCAAAATCACATTTGGTGAGTTTAAGATATAACTTGTTCTCTCATAATAAGGTTAGCACCAGACTCAAATACTTTAAGTAGTTCAACAATGAATGACTAAAAACAAGGACATCTTCAAGTATAGATGTCAATCGCACAAAATAGCAAGCGTTGCATAGTACAGCGCGGCGCACCTATAACGTTATTTCCTCAAGACGGAGCACTAATTCAAAATAGCACATGATATTTATGTCATTCCCAAGAGTCTTGCTACCGTCGGCCATGGATCAATACCCTGATACCAAAGTGGCGCAGAACACGCAATAGATAATGAAAAAGGATAAAAAAATATTAAAATTTCTCTGTAAAAAATCTATAGCAGAACTAATTCAACCCCTTCGTTTCTTGCAATCACCGCCTAAGTATTCACTCGACTAAAACAACGATACAACCAGCCAACCAAAATAAGCAAAAGAAATGAAACAGAAAAAGAAGAAATACTCCAATACAATTAAATGCTAATAGCGGTGTTATAGAATAAGGATATGGTGATATAGTGCAGTGACTGTATCACCGTGTAAAGGATTCTAAACAATACTTGCAACCATTCAAATAGATTGAGCAAATTAAACTTTAAACAATTATGACCTGATAGTGGAGTGCTTCTTTGAAGCGCTGTAGCCGGAGGTAGACCTCGCCAAGCGACTGGCATGTCGCAAGAAGCTGCTTCTGGGGAAGATACTTCGCCGATACCTCGTAATCGATTCGGAGCCACCTCAGAGCCTCAACGTACTCCCCCCTCCTCTTGAGGAGGTCGCCGATCACGTTCGCCCACCGCGCTTCTTCCTCGTGGTTCCCATCCCGAACCGCCTCTTTGTACCCCAGCTTCGCTACTCTGATCTCCTCGTCTTCTCTTCCCATTCTTTTTTCTGAGACGATGAGAAAGCTATCGACCTCTATATCTGCCCTCGCGGGTTTTCGGCTTCTTAGGGTTTCCCGCCTTTTTATTATAAATTTATAATATTGGTAATTTAAATATAAGAGAATTATAATATGGTTTACATATATAAAAAATATATATTTTAAATTTTCTTTTTAATATTTCATTTAATTAAAGAGTGTCATATATATTACTACCGAAATTTATTCTATTTATAAAATTATAATTCATCTAAAATTATATATTTGTGAGTGAGATCAAAAAATTTTTTGAATTTAATAATGGTGAAAAAAAATTGTTGAATACCTATAACAAATTTTAATTTGTAGAATAACTTTATAAATGAAAGTAAATAAATGATAATTTATTTATAAATGATTTTATTTTTATATATTTTGAATATAAAAAAAATGAAACCATCACTTTTGATGGTTTTAAAGATGTTAACAAAATGTAGATTCATTGATTTCTAAGTACTGTAAGCCAAAGGTAAACAGTTTTTAGCTGATTTGAATTAATATTTCATTTGTGATGACTTTCTTATTGCTTCTTAAAGCAGTTTTTTGGTACAAAAATTAAAATTTTTATACTTAAAAGCTGCTTTAAGAGAAATTCTATTATGTGCGGCCACCGAAAGGTGTTCATAGGTCAATGAGAACCTGCCACATCATTTTTTTGTTGTGCACAGCTCGGTATCGGGTGATGCGGCACTATCTGATTCGCCTCTAACCCGTTCAATGACTGCACTGAATAATTTCTCACTTTAAAAAACAATAAGAAAAAAACGCCCCAAACAAAACCTAAATGTACAAGTATGAATATATGGTACACTGATACATATCCTTGATTGGTTCAATGCTTGTTTGTTTGTGTTCAAGATCAGCTCCACTATACATTACATGATTACATACACAACATGCTGTGCTACAAAAGGCTTTATCAACTTTATTATATCTTATTCATATTTTCTTTGAGTTGATTCTTCCCTATGCTGGAAGATATAGAATATATAAAAACCCTGCAGGCAGAAGATGAAAAGACTAACATATTTCGAAGGTTTGAAGCAATAATCACATCCATCCTGGAAGGAAGCCGTTGACATTGTGAGAAGAAGATCCGGTGTTCAATTGTTGTTCTATACAGACTGGACTGTATCTGTAAAGAAGAGCAAAGATGAGTCTAAATCTTGGACATCCTCAAAAAGTGAAGCAGAATAAGTAACTGTATTATTGCTATCCTAACGGCATCTCCAATCGAAAATCTCATTTTTCACTCCAAAATACTGTGAAACTTAAAAATGTAGTGATTCATTTCCGATCAAACTCCATTTTGCGGGCTTCTGCGAAGGTAACTGTCTTTGGCGTGTTTCTTCGACTGATCCGGTTGAGACAAAAAAATCGCGTTGGTGAACAGTGTGACGCCAATATTGGCGTCGCACTGTTCACCCGCAAGCGGAAGATTTGGCGTTCGGCTGGAGCGACTGAACGACGCCATACGCAAGTTTGGCGTTCGGTGGAAGATGCTCTAAGGTCTCATTTGGTTGCTTCTATGTGGAAAATATATTTTTAAAATTGTTTATAACCACAGCCAAATGATGGAATTAGCAGCTTTTATCATGCAAAAATTATTTTCCAGCTTGAAGCAACCAAATGGGGGCATAAGAAGAATGTAAATTTCAGTGATACTGAAATTAGAAGCAGAACAAGGGGGGCCAGATTCAATTAGTAGAGGAAGCCGGGAAAAATTGGTAGGATTGAAAGTTACCCAATTTGCAGAGAAGGATCACAAGGCAAGGGCTGAAAAAATACATCTGATTGAGGTTGACGATCACAATGTCCACCACCGTTTCCGCCACTGCAGCCACCTGGCCAAGATAGCTGGAGGGGAATTTCTGGCTCATCTTCATGCAACTGTGACATTTAAATGCTATAATAAGAGAAAATTCAAAAGTGATAAGGAAAGGTGATGGCATGGCAGTGCCATTTTCCTGAGTGTTAATTGTTTAGAACTGTTCATTAACATAACTTTTCATTTGAACTTTTAACGTCTTTTGAAGAGGAGAAATTATTACGTCCAGATATCCGGACCGTCCGGATTGTGATGTACACAGTGTACAAACAGTGTGTACAATCCGGATTGTGATGTACACACTGTGTACAAACAGTATTTGTGTGTACACAGTGTGTACATTACAATCAGGACGTCCGGACTCCGCACATAATAATCTCTCCTTTTGAAGAGCATTTCAAAGTTTCTTTGTCATTAAAAATGATCATGTGTGAATTCAGACAAAGACTCGATACTTATTTGAACTAGCTATAGTATAAGAAACCATTGACACCTGCACAATATATGATGCCTATAGATGAGAAACACTTACAAACAATCAAACAATATAACAATATATGGTCACCATACCTTCATTCTCAGAGCTCTGTTAGCTTCCTGCAGCATTTGCTCCTAAATTGGAGAAAATGTTAATTTCAAATAAAGTTAGCCTTACTAAAGAATTCAATCAGAGTTTAAGGTAAAGATGATGAGAATATATTGAAATGACATTATGAAAATACCTTTCTTTTGAGATCACACAGTTGATCAAGCATAAATTGGCTCTGAAATAATAATACAAAGGTACATTAGTTCAGATCAGAAGAAAATAAAATGCATACTGCACAGAACTTGAAATAATGAAGATGCCTCCAATATACTTTCTTCATGTCATCATTTTTAAGTAACATGTTGGATTATTTGCACTTCCATTTTCTTTTATCTTATGCAGATAGTGTTTGAAGGGCAAGTAGTGTACTTGCTTTAACAGCAATTGACATAATAATTTTACATAAGCTATGGATCTTACCACCACAAGAAGTAAGGATTGATAAGATTTTTGTATGTTCCGAGCCATTGTTTAAGTTTTCTTTTATCTTTCCGCAAGAAAAACTTAAGCAATTCCGAAGGTATATATAAATGGAGAAAGTAATAACATTAAAAAACAATCATACAGTTCTGACGATAAAGATATACTTTTCAGCTTTTCCATTGTTGAGTACGAGCAGTTAAGATATGGTAAATTTCCTTTCTTTGATGCTTTTAAAACCCCAACCGGCAACAAAAACAAACAAGACAGCATCGGTAGTGGTAGTAGCTTCAAAGGAATTGGTAGTATTTGTTGCATAGGAAAGCGCTGAACTGCAACTATACGAGGGTTAATGATCAACTCTTTGTCGGATACTAATTTTCACTACTTTAGGAAAGTTACCCGACAACTAGGATAGCTTGCGGTATATATTCCTAAAAAGCAAAAACAATTCATTTTATTTCAATGATCAAAACAGTTTATTTTACGGTCTTTAATTTTTCTAGTTTTTAGGGGTGAATGGGTGATTGCAAATTTTCTTTTTATTTTTCTGAAAAAAAAAATGAAGTATTGGATTCTAAGTGAAAATAAATGTACATTTCTTCCTTCCATAGAATTAAAGCAAGAGCATCGAAATTCCACTAAAGTAGAGTCCGTAAAACCCATTATTAAATTGTTGAAATGATGTCTTTAGGTTCCAAGGAGAAGCTAGCTACAACGATGGTGTCTACTTCGATTTTAATTTTAGATAGATATTGAGTCATGATTTGATCTTTCATGAAGAATTTATGAAGTCCATTTTTTAGTTGAATGATGTGACAATAATTTATGGAGTTAAGGGTGAGATCATAGGATAGGACATGAGCTAAAATGGAGTGGAATGCGATGGAAAGTTTTAGTGGTATGAGATGTGAGTGGAATGTAGGAAATATGGATGAACCATATTTTGGAGTGGAATGCAACGATTTTAATAGTTTTGCAAGTTTCTAATTAATAAGCATCTATGTGTGATATTTTGGGATTAGAGATGAATGAACCATCATCGTAAGTAGCGAGTTTGACAAGTCATGGGATATACATATCCAAATATCCCTTAAATCCATTTTGGATAGTTCTCAAGAATGAGACAAGTGATTTTGATGTTTAGCATACAAAAATTGAGTTGAAAAGAAATATAGATGTCTCCCATAATGAGGGGGTCACTTTGTGCATTGATGGAGTTGTTGGTCATGGATGTTGGTGAGGGATACATGTTTCAGCTAAAGAAGTGGGAAGGGAGGCAGTTGTTAGAGGTATGAGCAAACGAAGGAGATGTCATTAGCCATTGGTCTCTAATACCATGAAAACTAAGCTAAAGAAGGTTTGAAGTTTCTGATCAATCAGCATCCATGTGTGATATTTTGGGATTAGAATGATTGAACTATGATCGTAAATAGCATGCTTGACGACAATACATAGGGTGGTATAATTGTCCAAATATCCCTTAAATCCATTTTGGATAGTTCTTTACCTTGAGATAAGTTTTTTTTTTTTATGTTTGAAATTAAAAATTTTTAGCTAAGAAGAAATATAGATGTCTCCCATATTTAAGGGGAAGCTTTGTGTATTGATGGATTTGTTGGTCGTGGATATTGGTAAGGGATGCATGATTTAGCTAAAGAAGTAGAAAGGAAAATTGTTGCAGGAGGTATGAGCAAATGATAGAGATGTCATTAGTCATTTGTTTTTAATATCATGAAAACTAAGCTGAAAAAGGTTTGAAGTTTTCGATCAATAAGCATCAATGTGTGATATTTTGGGATTAGAATGATTGAACAATCATTGTAAATAGTGGATTGACAATGCATGGGTATAATTGTTCGGATCTCCCTTAAATCCATTTTGTTTGACTCTCTAGAGTGAGAAAAGTGTTTGTACGTTATGCTTCACATTAAAAATTGAGCCAAGAAGAAATATGGATGTCTACCATATATATTTGGGGGGGGAGGGGGGGGAAGGGGGGTTTGGCTTTGTGCATTGATGGAGTTTCTGGTCATGAATACTGGTGAGGGATACATGTTTTAGCCAAAAGAAGTGGAAAGGAAGGTGTTCATTGGAGGTGCGAGGAAACGAAGAAGATGTCATTAGTCGTTGGTCGGTTGAAATAAATATACAAGGGGGATATAAGGCGATGCCAATACGCCTATTTGCTTCGCTTCATTTCATTCAATGCAAAATCTATATTAGCATCGTTTTATATAAGGCAATATTATGAGTATGACTAAAAGTTACTAAGTTTGTTTTTAATAGAGGTTTTTGATTGGTTTGGTGATCATGATGGTTGTTGTGCATGATAGTGTTGTATCTTTTGATAGCTTTATTTATTGCCTTTTATAATTATCAACATTAGCTTGATAAACATATATTTGAACTAGTTTATTTATCATATTTATTAATTTGGTGATTGATCTCTCACCTAGGCAATTAATTTAATAGAAGCCACAAGGAGATATTTTCCTTTATTTATTTATGTAATCCATAAAAAACAAAAAGATCTATTATAACTATTAATACATTGTTTATAAAACTGAGGTCATTAACATATGAAACCAACTCATCTAATATGCATGAGCAATATAAACTTTTCAATATGTTTGTATGTTGAGGTTTTGAAGGACCTCCCCAATTACATGAATGGTGCATTGCCCTCATTTGGTTCATGAAATCTATTTTAATAGCTTGAAGAGATTCCATTTTTGTCTCAAATGTAAATATTAAGGTCTTCTAAAAGTGGCCCAACTTTCTAAAAATCCTTTAACTTCACGTACGAACACTCACTAGCAAATATAGTTTAACGGTAAAACTAAGCAACAATAAAAAAAGAATGATTGTAGTATGATGTACTGAATCATACCGGTAACAAGTTAATGCAAAGCTATTATTGAATACCTTTGTTGATCTGATCTGTTTGAGAGATATTTCTAGTTGGTGTTCTAGTTGCTCTAGTTCCTTTGTGGTCAGTTGGCCTAGGTCCTCTCCTAGAAGATTCCTGTAGAGGCTTACATTTTAAAATATATCATGCTGACAAAATAATCCATAATTAGGAAGGACAAATTTAATTAAGAGAAATAAAGTGTCTGAGTAACCTCTGTGACCGTTGTAGATATTCAACTCTTGCTTTTAGTTTTAAATATTCTTGATAATTGTTCTGCTTTGATATAAAGAAACAAAATATAAGTTAAACTCATAGATTGAAAAAAATTGCAAAATCAATTTAATATATATAATGCCAAAAAAACTTAGTTGCATGTAAAAAAATATATTTGTTAACCAAACAAATATAAATAGTGGCTTAAATTATCATTCAGAACAATAATCTCAATATTACTAAAAAATTTAACATATAATTAATATGCTAATGAGTGGTCACTAATAAATAAACTTAATCAATAAAATTAATCCATTTGATGAAACCCTTAAGATGTGATCTAGGAATGATTTTGCCCGTAAATATCAACATGTAATTAACATAAACGGATGACAAATATAATTCATGACCAATTTTATATCATCACAAATAGGTTGGTTGATATTTAAACATTTAGTAGTTGGGTGTTTGTCATGGTTTTGAAAATCGGACCGGACCGGCCGGTTCAACCGGTTCAACCGTGAACCAATTCTAAGGCCGGTTCGGCCCTCCTAACACTGTTTGTAGTCATTGTATAAGGTGACAACAAAATTCTTAAGCTAAATTGGGGATTAATAGGGTTGGATACTATTCGATATGATATTAATTCATAAAAGAACATGCTAAAAAGATTTTAGTTGGTCACCAGTACTATATACTAGGACAAGGGAAATTTTGGAGCTACTTGGCACAATCTGCCCTAGATTTCCAAGAGTTCTTCCTATAAGAAAAAACTTAGAATTTTAAGATAAATTCAATAAATCTAGAAATTTTCTTTTTTTAAAGCATGATTTACTCTCATGTCAGAAGCATTCTACGTTCTTTAGGCTTTGTTGCCCTCGAGCATATAAGACTCTATTCCTTAAATGATTTTTTATGATGAATAGATTAGACTAGATAGGAACATGACAGAATTCCCCTCTCGGAGTATATACTTCACTTTAAACTATTGCCCTCGAGTGTGACTTTTCCTAGTACCTTCTCCAAATATTCATAAAAAAAATAGGTCCAACACTTCATAAGTTCAAAAAATCTGATTAACTACCAATTGTGAGTAGACATGAAAGTTTAGTTTTTTCAATCTTGTTTGAGATGCTAGCCTACTTTTGCTAAGCACAACTTCAAACTCTACCTAATTGCAGGTAATAGAAAATCTTACAGGCTTGAGAGCACTACATCCACTCTATTATTATTTTTCATGAGGTCCCGTAAGCCAACAAGCTCTAGCCTCCATCAATAAACAAGTTCTAAGATCCCTTCACTCCAAATTCAAATTTGGAGTTGTTACTCCATGTAGATTCAATAGGAAAATTCTCCAATTTTTTAGCTTTAGCAACAAACTGAAGTACTTGATGTTGCACTCATTGAGTTTGATTGACCACTTTGTAAGTCATCCCAGTAGCTCTAGAATCTATCACTCCCTAATAAATGGGTCAGTTAGTCAAGACCTTTGTTAAATATTTTTCAAAATATGGGCTCAATTTCTAAATGAAAAATTGTAATGCTAACACCAACTTGTCTATCACAGGGTATCTTTGCATCCGATTGGTGAGGGTGTTAACAGAATATATAAGCAATCTTTACTGCCATTTTTTTTGTCTAATTAGAGGCTTTGGGGGAATGAAGATGGTGTTAAGAGTTGCTTGAGGTTGGCGAATGCCATCTCACTATCGGTCATCCACTTCATGACTTTCACTATTTCAAAGTCATGTACTGGTGGACTTTTCATGTAACTAGGTAAGAAATCATCTTTATATTTGCATTTATCGACACATTATTAAATTGTTATGAAATCAATTATTTACTTCAAAACATTAAACAACAAAAGATCCCATTTTGAACTGAACTTCTTCCAAAATTAAAAATATTTTAAACATGATACATATAAATTACATTAAGCAAATAGTAGAGAAAACTCCATTATGATTGCTAGATTATTTCAGTGGTTAAGATTTCACAATTTCAAAGTCATATACGTCCAAACTTTCCACTTAATAACAGGGGCGGATCCACCTTAAGCACCTTAAGCCCAACAGGGGTAATTGCCCCCCTAAAAAAAAAATCTTTATTATATGATTCTTTAGGTAATTTATCCCCCTCTTTTTTTTTTTTTTTTTGTCTTTATTACAAAAAAACTCAATTTTAAAATTAATTTTTAATTAATTATTTGTAATATTTTTTAATAGAGGTTTTAATTTAAAAGCTAACACCATAGCTCAAAGCCGTTTATAAAAGTATATTTGAAATTGATTTTGAGCACAAGATGGAGCTCAAAATTGGCTCAAATCAGTTTTAGTTAAATTAAATTATAATCGAGTTTTGATTATTATTTTTAAAAACCATAGCTCAACATTCTCAATTATATCATATTTCTAACTTTATAAATTAAAAATATGTTTAGAAGTCTTAAATAGAGTTATCTTGAAAAAGTAAACTTTGAGTTGACTCAAATTGATCCTAAGCTAGGTTGGCTCGCCTTAAATGAATTTTGATTTTGATTTGAGCAGGAATCTAACTTAACTAATTTTAAGCCAAAAAAGCTTGCACAAAACTATCTTGGCATTGGCCCTAATCAAATCATAACTTTTCAAATATATCTAATATAGTCTATATAATATGTAATTTTTTTGTTAATACTATCTTTTGATTAACAAAAAAACCAAATCAGAAAGAATTATTATCTTCTTAAAAAATTATAATCCACAATTCTATGGGGGTTATTTTCCTGCATTTAACAAGTGGATCGGAATAGCAGAAATAGGAACCTGCGTCTCCTTGGATGGAATCACGGTCTCTGATGAATTATAGCTGCACTTTTGGTATCTCTCAAGTGTCTTCATCATGCTGCACAACAAGCTAAAATAAATAAATATCCATGACTTATAGTTACAAAATACATCAACTCTTCAAATCCTTAAATCATAAAACCTAGTATTGAAAATGCATTAGAAGTATTACTCGAATTTGACACTTACAAAGAAAACTTTATAAAACTAGAATAAAGCTGGGTGTGCTTTATGAATTTATGCTTCGTTTGAAACAGCTTTCTTACTATTTTATAAAGCTGCTTTCAAGTATATATATATTTTTTTTGAATTGAAAATCTTTGTACTAAAAAGTTACTTTGAAAAGCATTAACAAAAATGTCTCAAACAAAGCATTAGTATTGGTAATAAAGGAGCCATATATAGTCAGCTCTAGCGTGACCACCCAATATTGAGGCTTCGTTTGGGAAGGTTTTTTCATTGCTTCTTAAATCAGCTTTCTAGTATTAAAAATAAATTTTTTTTATTAAAAAACTGTTTTAAGAAACAGTAAAAAAATAATCCCAAAGGAAAGCTGAATGTTCCTAAAATACCATTTCTTCAAACGATTAGAAGATCTCCAAATACACTAATCACGTGATTGTAGGCATTAAGTGCTGCTGGTAAATCAGTCTTGGTACACGTGCTTTCCTCCATCTCAAGATTGATCTTGCCTATGGATCTGACTTCTTCGTTCGCGTACAAAGTAGGAGGTATTGGACAGCTATAAGTAAGTGATGTTCAGTTAGAATTTCCTCAAGCAAATGCGATAATTGGAGGCTTCCACCGCCATGCCCTCTCGTCCGCTAGAATGTTGTTAAAGGATATTGGAGATTCCATTGGCGCAATTTTGAAAAGGATTTTATATGAGAATTTTTTTGTTATGAGTTAGGCTGTAAATGAACCGAGTGTTTGACGACCTACTCGTGGCTCGGCTTGATAAGAGCTCGTTCATATTTTGATAAGATAAACAAATGAGCTTGAACATTTTTATAAATAAATGAGCTTGAACATTCAATAACTAAATAGAGTTTGAACAACTTGACATTTGGTTCATTTATGTTTATAAACAATATCATTTAACGCTCATAAACAAACTCGTTAAGAAGCTCGACAATGAAGCTTTATTAGAACTATATTAGAGTCTTAAAAAAATATATTGTTTAATTTAATATTTAATAATTTTTTTTACTTATCCCGTCTAAAATCATTTAATAATTTATTTTTACTTCCCACATCCACCTAAAATTGCAAACAATTCGCTCTCTGAACAAATATACAATGAATCATAGATCGTTTGTTCATGAACGAGCTCATTGAGTAGCTCAAAAATACTAATTAGATATGTTTATGAACGGGCTTATTTGATAGCTCAAGAATGCTCATTAGATATGTTCGTGAACGAGCTTGTCTGATAGTTTAAAAAACTTTGCAATATATGTTCACGAACATGCTCGATGTAATTGTGTGTTAGAAGACTCGATAAGGCTCGTTTGTTAAGTTGATGTACATCAAGAAATAGAGCTCTCTTATAGCCCGATAAGGCTCGTTTGTTTAAAGCTTGATAAGAAATAAATGAACCGAACATAAACAAAGCATAAACACCCATTAATTTAAATGAACTAAGCTTAAACACAAATAAAGAAGCTCGAATCAAACTCAAACCGAACTTAAACAATCTGATCATAAACGAACTCAAATATGAACATGAACATACTCGGCTCGACTTGATTCATTTTGCAACTCTAATTATAAAATATATTATGGGATTTCTTTTTTGTTATGTGTGTGTATTTAAAAATTGTGAGAGAATCTATTAGTACTATTTTCTTAGTTTGCAGAGCGTAGTTGTTTCCTTTTTTTAATTGAATAACATCATTGATTCTCCTCTCTATTGAACAAAGCTAGGTTTGAATGTAACTTCATTATATTTTTGCATTATATTACTTTTTGTTTTATTTTATGGTATATTTTTCTCCATTCTTGATAAATCCTAAACATCTGTCACCCTCCATTCATTTGCTCACCGTCAATCTTAGCCTAGGATTTTGCTAGCCCTAGCATGGACAAGGGATCTCGAGCTAGTAGAGATGTGCTGCTTTCTATTATGCACAAATATGGATACGACACGACACGGATACAGGACACGTTAATTATTAAAAATATAGGACATAGACACAGGTTCGACACGGTATTATATATTTTATTTTTTAAAAATAATGTATAAAATTTAAATAAGTATAATTAAAAAAATAATTTAATAATAATAAGTCATTTAATTAGAATTTGTGCTTAAAATGATTAATATTAGGATGTCGAGAGTCGGACATTGATGCAGTTTATTAGTCACCGAGAGAGGAGATGACAATGTTCAGTGCAGAAAATTCAGGTATTACCGGCGGTTAGACCACCGGTATTAATCGACGGTGTTTAATAAATAGTCGTCGGAATTAGTGGCAATTTAATAATCGCGGGCTATGCCGTCAATTTAATTTTATACCGGCACCTTTACCGGCAGCCAAAGCCGTCGGTTTTAAGTAATTTTTTTTTGGCGGCGGTATAAACCGCCAGAAATTTGCCGGAAAACGTCCTAAATTTACCCATCCCAAGCCTTCCTCCTCACTTCTTCGCATTTCTCTCTCGCTGCTGCAGACGCTCACCCCCTCTCCTCTGACCTCTCATGATCCCGCCTCCGAGTACTGCGCAGGAATCCGACACTAACAACCTCCCTCAGGCCGAAGATCTTGCCCACAAGTCGAACCCATCTCCTCTCCGATCTCCTTGAGTCACACGGATCGAACTTCTACTCCAGCCGTCGGGCTCGTCTACCTCCTCTACCCTAGTCGTCGGCTCTCCTATTTGTTGTAGGTACATTCCCTAAAAATAGTGATGGTCATGTGTTTGTAGTAATGCCTATTAAGATATATTAATTGTGAGAGTAATACATTGATTATGAGAGTAATATCTATGGCATGTATTTGCAAGTTATACATTGATTGTGAGAGTAATATTTATGGCCAAAATATATTTTTTCATGATAATTATATCATTATTATTTCATTTAGAAAATATTTAAATTTAAAATTATACAATCAACTATGGCTAAGAATGAGTTATTTGACATAGGAGATTACTAGGGGCATATTTGATGGCTCCCCGACCAATGGAAAAGCAGAGTTGGTAGAGGCACACATGTGTAATGGTTTATATAAGGACCTAAAAAAATTGCTAAACAAATTTAAGGCCTCAAGCGTGGCAGGAATTGAGTAATTTTATATCATTTCGAGTTCATTTGATCATCAATAAAATTTTAAATAAGCTTCTTAAGTGTTTTTAGATCTTTGATTTGCATAAATAAATAATGCTAGATCATATAAAATGATTAGCATATTATAAAGTATCAAGAGAAGTGCTACGTAGAGTTCTAGAAAAGAAAGGGGTAAGTCATTAAGGATATGTATGCAAGAGTTATTACTTGTGTTCAAATACAAGGTAGTTTGACCAAGAATTTCCTTATTTCAATTGGATTACATCAAAGATCAGCCTTAAGCCCATATCTTTTTTGTTTTAGTCGTGAATCACTACAGGAAAAACGCTGAAAACCGGCGGTTTTTTCCGGCGGTTAGTGTAGATTTACCGGCGGTTTTTAACATTATCGGCGGTCTAACGGCGGTTTGTTAACCGCCGGTAAAAACGGCGTAGGAAATCATTTCCGACGCAGGTTTTTGCCATTTTTCCTGTAGTCAATGTTCTCACTAGACATTTAAAAAGGTTGTACCCTGGTGTATGCTTTTTGCTGATGTATTCTTCTTGTTGATAAGGCTGAGTTTTCCATTTTATCACATAAATTATTTATATTGTCATGTTGTATTTATTTGATGGTTGGTGAATGTATTTCAATTCAAGAAAAATATACTTGTTCAAAAGTAAAGCACGTACACTTGTTCACGCTGCAAATCTTATAATAATTAATTTTATAACTATGCAGGTAAATGTTTATTTTAACGTCCAAATGACTATTCAAGAAAAGAGATATTTGATGTATAATAGATTATTACTGGGTCGAAGAGGATTGACAGATGAATTTATACAGGGAGTTAAAATTTTTATTCAAGTTGCATATCAACTGCCTTACTTTAAGTTCAATGGAATATTTTGATGTTCATATTCGAAGCACAAAAATCAAGCATTTCTTAAACTCGATAATGTGAAGGTTGATTTATATCATAGGAGATTTGTTCCACATCAGTATTTTATAATCCTAGTAGAGCTGAAGAAACTGTAAGCCAGAGGGTTACAACCTTGATGAGAGAGATAGAAGAGATGAGAAATGTTCAAAATGAGATGCAGGCAAAGCTACGATCCTATAAAGATGAAAATCAAGAAAAGAAAGAGCAAGAGCAGACACATGCATCACCAGATAGTAAGGACATAGAGGGTGATTAGTACTTTTATTTATTTGATTAACTTATGGTTTAAACATTTAGTCTAATGAACTTGTTCTGTGAAAGCGAGGACATGAACATGTTATTATGGATTTATGTATTATGTTCGTTATAGACTTTATTTGGTTTGATGAGTTTATATTCATTGTTATGTTCTTATTTTGGATTTCATTTCAGTGTTATTGTAGTAGCTGGAAATTTAATAAAATTGTCAGTACATACCGGCGATTTGCCGGCTGTCGACGTCAGTACTCAACCGGCGGTACCCGATAGTTTAACCACCGGTAAAACCTACAATTTTGATGGCCAGTAAGACATCGATAAATAACCGGTGGTAAATCGATGGTGACCCGACGGTTTAGCCACCGCTAATACTGGTGGTTTTGACAGCCAAATGGCCGGTAAGCCACCGGTGATTAACCGGCGGTGACCGGCGCTACGACCGCCAGAAATTATCGGTTGTCTAGGCCGCAAAAAATTCGCCGGTACGTATAATCGTCAGAAATCATTTCTTACGCGATTTAGTCCGTCGATTTTTCAATCGCCGGAAAGCCACTAGTTTTTTATAAAACTGCCATAAATCTTTCATTAACGG